GCATTTGGCGGTCCACCAGCTGTAGTATCAGTCCGCCAATACAGTAATCGTTTCTAGGGTTTAAATTCCTTAATATTTTAGTAAATATCAAGAAGTTTGTACTATTCAATAATTTTAAAAGTTTTATATTAAATTTTTTAGTCATTTTAACAATTATTGAACTTAATTGAATTACATTATAGGAAACTAGTTTTTTGGGCGCCAAACAGCCTGTCAACACACCATACAGGCGTCAGTCTCTGTGTCTTTTCAGTGGAGGTAACATCTTGCTTGAGACTCTCTTCAACTAAATGCTTTTTTTTCTGTGTTTCCAAGCAAATTATTGGTCAAATTGAAATTTATTTTACATATTGACAATATATAATGCAGTGCAGCGTTGATTTAAAGAAAATAATCTTAAATTACACCAAGAGAACTAAAATTTTATGGGTGAAATGGCACCATGGGGTGACTTCTCTTCCACCCCAATGCCTTCTCTTCTCCCTTCTCCTCCACCCCCATTCTAATTCCCATCATCATCATCCAGGAGCCTTCTACATACACACGTCAAAGTAAGTGTACTTTACTACCTATTTTGTTGAATTTAGGCAATTTTCGGTGAGCTGGAACCAATTACCCAAAAACCCATTGAAACAATGGTTTCGGTTAACTAATTTTTCGGTTAACGAGCAACCTTCTGGAACGAATTGTGCTTGTTAACCGAGGGACCACTGTAATGTGAAAAATATTTTATACGACCATGGCCATCGTATGTCCGTGTTGTCGTAAGTCGAGGAGAGACTGTATATGCATAGTACAGGTAATTATAAATACAGTCAACCCTCGTTTTATGCGGTACCACTTTACTCGTTTCCACGTTTACGCGGTACCCTGCCGAACACGGAATGCTCACTTTCCGCGGTGTGTGTACCCTTTTATGCGGAGAGCGGCGCGAGCAGGGTGCGCACAAGGTCGCCCAGTCATCAAAACATTACCTAGTTCTTCACCCGCCACCCACCACAGCCGGCACAAGTCAGTGATAATGATAGTGAGGATATGGACTTATATGGACTTTGAGGGGTTTGACAAAGAGGCCCTGCAAGCCTCTGTGGTCGATAGTGATACAAGTAATACAGGTGAGGGCCAATAATCTGCCCTCTGCCTCGGAACCAACCCCCCATCCCCGTGTGCCCAGCCATCTTTTCTACTAATGTAAGTGTTAAAAACCTAATATTATTGATATTTCTCTTAATTATTAATTGTGTGTGCATGCCATCATAAAATTAAGAAGTTATTTTTACTACAACGTAGGTATTGTCTCTGAAAAAGTGGAGTTTGGGGGTCGGCCCGGTCTCTATTTCAATTAATCCCATATGTTATGTTGTTCACCTTACGCGTTTCTCACTTTACGCGGGCCGCCGTGGGTTCAATTGACCGCGTAAAGTGAGGGTTCACTGTAGATTATTTTCTGTTGTAACCAAGGCATAGCAAGGTGCAAAAACTGAACAGAAAACGAACGAATAATCGAACACAAAAATTTGGAATTTGTCGAATAATGTCAAAATACTGTGAACTTGGTTAATTCTGATTTTTTGTATTCGAGTGACCCAGAGACCCTTTTTTGTTGAATTAATGAGAGTATAGTGTATTACCTGTTTTTATTCCATTTTCTTATCTGTTCTAGAGACAGTGAAGAACATTATTATTTATTCGGCATATATACTTTACAGGTAGATTAACTGTACATGTATTTGTTTTGTTATCTATTTCACAAAACATTTGCAACCACATACATTATTGTTTTCAAGAAAGCAGACAGGAAGAGTGCTATCTTACTCTCAAGGAACCATCAAGTCTTCAAAATTTTGCCTAACCCAGGGAAGAAAATGTCCATCTTTTGAGAGTCTGGTTTTCTAGAATTGAGAGTCCATACCTGTAATGAGGAGGGCTGGGCAATCTTAAAGTCAGTCCTCCACTACCATTAATGAAGTCAATCTGGGTCTTGATGAGGCAGAATAAGGGATTTAAGGATCAATCCTCCATATATTTAGCATGTTCTCAATAGATTGCACTTGTATAATGTATTAATGGAATTATCTTTGGGTTACAGGGTATTTGATTAATAAAATTTAATAGATAGAGTGTATTGCCGTTGTTATTGCTGTAGACTTTGTATTGCAGTTTAAAACATCTAAGTACTTGCATGTTTACTTTTTGTCTATTTAATATATTTTCCAATTTTTTTATTGATATTTTAAGAATACATTTTTATTTTAATACAGTAGTGAAAAAAATTTATATATTAACTGTTGATACGGAAAAATCATAGCTCGGCCAAGTTGATTTGTTTTAACATTTCTAAGGTACTATATGCAGATCTACCCATATATCAGTACGCACTGTAGTTGGAGCACGGTGTTGTATCTAATGTTAAGATAATCTCTCTCCTGAAGTATGTAGTGTCAATTCCTTTCCAAGTTTTACTAGTTTCAGCTTAATTTGCATGAAAAACTGAGCTGAGGTATGCACGTATGCTCATGCTGCATTAATACAAAGAAGCACATGCATACTGGTGGACACACATGTGCACCTCTCTCTCTCTCTCTCTCTCTCTCTCTCTCTCTTATGGAATGTCATTAAAAGTACTGTATGTTTGTTTATCATCTGTAAAAATTTTTCTTTTGGAAACACGTATTAACACTGTTGATTTTGTTGGCCTTTAGTTATGTATATGTACTGTAGATCTTATCATTATTTTTGTACTGTACTAAATGCAACAGGGTGTCTCAAAAGTCCCCATACTCAAAGTTTGGCAATTTATAGTAGTTTAATGGCTAACGATAGTCATCCATGGTTTCACGCGGCGCATGCTGGCAACGTCGCAAAAGTTTGCTGAGTAATGTACCGGTCACGTGACTTCGCGCATGAGTGGGTAGAAGGATGTAAATGTGAGTCAGTCGACAATGAGTCTTCCGTGAGCACAGAGGGTTGGCCTTTAGTTATGTATATGTACTGTAGATCTTATCATTATTTTTGTACTGTACTAAATGCAACAGGGTGTCTCAAAAGTCCCCATACTCAAAGTTTGGCAATTTATAGTAGTTTAATGGCTAACGATAGTCATCCATGGTTTCACGCGGCGCATGCTGGCAACGTCGCAAAAGTTTGCTGAGTAATGTACCGGTCACGTGACTTCGCGCATGAGTGGGTAGAAGGATGTAAATGTGAGTCAGTCGACAATGAGTCTTCCGTGAGCACAGAGGGTCACTCTGTTGGAGGCGCACTTTGGGTTTAAATCTTATCAACGGTGTGTTGAAATCTTTAGAAGGAGATTCCCCGATAGCCCGACACCATGTAAGGCTACTATTTCTAAACTGGTGAAACATTCTCGTGACACAGGAAGTGTGAAAGACAGACCGAGAACCAGGCGGCAGTCAGTAGTGACACCAGAATTTTTTGCAATCTCCTCGTAAGTCATTGCGGCGTTTGTCACAGTGTATTTACGTACCCGTTTAAATGAAACCAGGCCTTGTCCGTGAAAAATGTCGTGTCCATCACCGTGACATTGTTGTGTGTGAACCTGTTGAACCAACAGCTGTAGTGAACACACTTGTCTGTGTCCAACGTGCACAGTTCTTGCACTACCCTCACTCTGTTTGAGCGTAACTTTAAACATTTGACAGCCCTGTGAACGGCTGAACGAGATGCTCCCACTTGCTGTGACAAATGCCGCAATGACTTACGAGGAGATTGCAAAAAAAACTCTGGTGTCACTACTGACTGCCACCTGGTTCTTGGTCTGTCGTTCACACTTCCTGTGTCACGAGAACGTTACACCAGTTTATAAATAGTAGCCTAACATGGTATCGGGCTATAAGGGAATCTCCTTCTAAAGATTTCAACACACCGTTCATAAGATTTACACCCAAAGTGCGCCTCCAACAGAGCGACCCTCTGTGCTCACAGAAGACTCATTGTCGACTGACTCGCATTTACGTCCTTCTACCCGTTCATGCGTGAAGTCACGTGACCGGTACATTACTCAGCAATCTTCTGCGACGTTGCCAGCATGCGCCGCGTGAAACCATGGATGACTATCGTTAGCCATTAAACTACTATAAATTGCCAAACTTTGAGTATGGGAACTTTTGAGACACCCTGGCATTTCCACTTTTCATAAATTATATAAGTAACTTGGTACAGTATTTATTACTTTACTACAGTCTCTGAAATTACATCACTGCATGAAAATGCTTTGTTCTTTTTGTATAAATGCCACAATTTTTCTTTGGAAAGCAGAAGTCAAGAGTGAAGAGAACTTAATCAAATTTTAACCAAAATATCAGAAGGGAAAAACTGTGAAGAAATTTATTTGATAGATTTAATGTAAAATTAGTGTCTTAGATAAAAAAAAATATTAGTCCTGGTCACTCCTGGAAGCTTTACTATGATGAAGTAAAGAGGTGCCCTTGGTAGTTATTTTCTTTGGCCACACACACACAATGCAGCTCCATTTGGTCTGCTACATTTCCTTATCTTCAATGTCACTCTTTCAGTTACTGCTGCTGTAATTGTTTCATTTTTTCCACTTATTTATGTCCCTTTGGTTCTTTAGCAAGTTTTCTTTTATTACACCTTTTCTGCACATTTTCATTTCTCAGGATAATCATATGGTGATTGCTTACCATGTGACAACCAGATCATTGTGTAAAATACTTCAGCAAATGGTTCACATGTTTATGTAAAAGGCTTTTATGCATGGAGGTGGTGAAATGTTTTGTGTTTTATATCAAGAGAACAAGGCACCAAGGGACATGGATAGATAGGCAACATTGATACACTGGAATATACTCTTAACAGATATCATGAATGTTAGTGTTCTGACCCTGATTATATTGTCATTATATCATGATCTATATAAAACTGGGATGATGTTATATATTGAAATATCAGCAAAGTAACAGCAGTAATTTAGTAATAAGTGTATAGTATATAATAGTTTTATGATTTCATTTACACAGGTTTCATGACAACAAATGAGCAAAAAATTTTTGACGCCCTTGATGCAAAGACGTCTCACCCAAAATACTGGATGCCACTTGTTTGGGCAGGTAGTATTATTACAAGGGCAAGAAAGGAAGGCAGGATCAGGGATGATTTTGCTGTCAAAACAATCATAGATGAGATCAACCGGTTTCGAGGATTATGTGGAGGGCTTTTGAGCTATGATTGGATTAGCATCCCATTAGTGTACACCCAGGTACGTACTGTTTCAGAGTGTGTCGTCTATAAATTTGTACATCTAGTATACAGTATTAGCAGTGTGCATATGTAGGGTAGATAGAATGCAAGGGAGTTTTAGGAAACTACAAATGTAGAAATAAGAAAATTAATAAAAAATAAAGAACTTTGAAATTAGCATTTAGTAGGTGCTTATGGATGGGATAAGATGGTACACATATGTTTTTTGATGTACATTATGTGAAAGAGCTTAGAATTAGGATTATATATCAGGAGTAAACCATCTGCTTTGTCACCCAACATCATTGCAACAAAAGTTCTGTACAGTATTACCTCTACACTGAAATAATTTGTGACACCCAGTTCTGTATAATGAGTTTTTCAGTATACAGTGGTCCCTTGGTTAACGAACACAATTGGTTCCACAGAGTCGTTCGTTAACCGAATCTATTATTTCAATGGGATATTGGGCAATTGGTTCCAACTCACAGAAAAGTACAGTAATACCCCGATTTACGCGGTCAATTGAACCCGTGGAGTACCGTGTAAAACGAGAAACGCGTATATGGAATAACAGAACATATGGGATTAATTGAAATAGAGACTGGGCCGACTCCCAAACTCCACTTTTTCAGACACAATATCGACACAATACCTATGTTGTAGTAAAAATAACATCTTAATTTTATGATGGTATGCACACACAATTAATATTTAAGAGAAATTCAATTGCCAGGTTAATGTGCATTCAAATAATGGACTCAACTCCCCCCCTTCCCTTTCGCTTGCTCTTCCTCTCTGAGAAATGTTTGGGTGAAAACAGAAGATTTTAAGGTTTAGTAATAAATAATACTTCAGACTAAAGTTAGGATAATATATTTGACATTGCTGGATTCCTTGCAAGACCAGGAATATTTTGAATATAAACATCATATATTTTGCACAAAAGATAAAATTTTGGCTCTTTGTAATCAAAATTCTTACATTAGATCTAAAATTTGTATGTCTAATGCAAATTCCATGATGTTTATATTTAAAATAATCACAATCTTATAAGAATTCCAGCAATGTAAATTATATTCTGGCCGGGTAATTTGCATGAATTTTATGAGCTAAAACAAATATCTTCAGTAAATAAACAAATTATACTTCACCCAGACACTATCTGTCAATCAAAATACCCCACCTCCGCCCCCCCCCTCTTCCCACGCTCGCTGGGTCCCTCCCTACCCCAACCCCCCCTCTCCCACCTCCCTCCCTCCCTACCCCCACCCCCCCCTCCCTACCAGAGAAATGTTTGGGTTAAAACAGTATATTTACATTTTTAGTAATAAATAATACCTCAGACTAAAGTTAGGATAATATAATTGACATTGCTGGATTCCTTGCAAGACCAGGAATATTTTGGATATAAAAGTCATATATTTTGCACAAAAGATAAAATTTTGGCTCGTTGTAATCAAAATTCTTACATTAGATCTAAAATTTGTATGTCTAATGCAAATTCCATGATGTTTATATTTAAAATAATCACAATCTTATAAGAATTCCAGCAATGTAAATTATATTCTGGCCGGGTAATTTGTATGAATTTTATGAGCTAAAACAAATATCCTCAGTAAATAAACAAATTATACTTCACCCGCGTAAATGAGTAAATTCACCGCGTAAATGGTTCTGGCAAGGTACCGCATAAATGACCAAACGCGTAAACGACAACCGTGTAAATCGAGGTTCAACTGTGCATGCAAAGTATAAACAAAATGCAGTACAGTACAGTACTGTACAGTTCACTTACTTTGAGGTGTGTATGTAGAATGTTGCTGGTTGATGATGATGATGGGAATTAGAAGTGGGGGGTGGAGGAGGAGAAGGGAAAAGAGAAGGAAGTGGGGGTGGAGGAGAAGGGAGAAGAGAAGCAACTTAATGCTTCTTGGAAGGCAATTCATGTTCCATAATAATGTCAGGAACCTCTGGACTGACAGATTCTCTAACATGAAAATCCTCTCTCTGTTTTGGAGAGGAACACTGAGGGGAATCATCTTTCTCAACCATGCTTGATGCAGTAATTTCACCAATAAAATTTTAAGTTCACTAGCTGTAATTAACCCTTAGGCCCAAGGTGACGTTCCGGAAGTCCGACTAGTGCGCCCCAGGTGACGTTCCAGAACATTCGCCTATTTTCCCGCCATTATTTCATTTTATTATATATATATATATATATATATATATATATATATATATATATATATATATATATATATATATATATATATATATATATATATATATATATATATATATATATATATATATATATATATATACATACATACATACATACATACATACATACATACATACACACACACACACACAGCTACACCCCGACTTACGACAGGGTTAGGGACCCAAATCCAGGTCGTAAGTCCGAATGGTCGTAAGTCCGACATAGATAAAAAATATAAAAAAATAATTTTTTTTTTAAATAAAAAATCTACAATGAAATACAGTACAGTAAAAGTAATAAATAATGAGGAATGGATACAGTACAGTGAAAGTAATAAATAATGAGGAATGGATACAGTGTGACTGAGCACTTACCTTTAATGTAGTCAGCTGAATGCACATGGAGCCCCCATAATTTTCTAATTATACATGGAGACTACATTAACTGGAAACGTTTTGGTATAGAAAATGTGTGCGTCATTTGAAGAAAGAAAAAAAAATGGTCACAACTTAAAGTAAGAGTCCAAGCAGTTAAAGTAGGACTATATATATATATATATATATATATATATATATATATATATATATATATATATATATATATATATATATATATATATATATATATATATATATATATATATATATATATATATATATATATTATATATATATATATATATATATATATATATATATATATATATATATATATATATATATATATATATATATATATATATATATATATATATATATATATATATATATATATATATATATATATATATATATAAATCTATGGAAACATTATCTTTATTCAGACATCTTCAGAGGCAAGTAAATCACTGTAGTGCGTGATCTGGGTATATGCTGATAACCACAAGGAAAGAAGAAACCGTGTGCTCAGATTATATATATATATATATATATATATATATATATATATATATATATATATATATATATATATATATATATATATATATATATATATATATATATATATATATATATATATATATATATTTTATTATTTTTGGAAAAGTTTAGTTTTTCCTCGGTTTAACCCCGCCTGGGAGGGGGGAGGGGGGGTACTGCCAGCAGCACCTTAACCCAGGGCTTGAGGGTTAAAGATTATTTTATTTAAATCAACTCTGCACTGCGCTATATATTATCAATATGGTAACTAAATTTCAGAATGACCAATAATTTTAATGTAAAAATGTAAAAATATTCAGGAAACCAACAAACTCAATGTTTCCTCCACTGTAAACAAGGTTAAACAGAGAAGCTTTGGCGGGTGAGTCAAGCGGCAGTTGGGCGCACAAAAACTAGTTCCCTGTAGTGCATATACTATCAATATGTTAACTAAATTATAGAATGACTAACTATTTTAATATAAAAAATTAAAAAATATTAAAGAGCACAACCTTCTTGATATTTACTCCACTGGAAACGAATGTAAGCATAAAACCGATAACTGTATTGGCAGACTAGCCGATCTGCTGATGTGCGCAACAAAACGTGTTTCTTGTAAGGCTTATGTTAAACAAAGTTTTGTTTGTTAATCGAACTGAAAATCCTTATGGAGCTGATTTGTTATCCGAAATTTCGTTAATTGGACCATTCATTAACCGAGGGACCACTGCACAGTACTGTACTGTAAAATGAATCCCAAGAACTAGGCATTTTTAGTTCAGATAAATTGTCACAATACCAGATTTTGTTTTTTGTAAAATATAGTTTGGTAACACATGACTTTAATGAACGCTACATATTATACATAATATACATAAAAAATATGGAAACACATAAATATTGTAAAAAAAAATAGTTCTATGCGCCTTCCTTGGCTGGCTGGGTAAACAGAGCACCAGGAATATAATTCCACACAAGAACTAATCTGGGGTTGAGTGTGGGATTTTTTTGTTAATGGAAAATTTTTCCATTTTACATTAAAGTTTTATTAACCCAGCACCAAATGAACCTAGTGTAAATAGTACAGTATAGGAATTATGGTGAAATTGCATGGTTTACTGTTGTTTTCTAGAAATCAAGGGATCGGAGGGAGGGTATTTTCTTTTCAGTCAAAACAGCATCCCGCCCTTCCTCCCAATTCTCCCACACAGAATTCACTTGCCACTGTTAATTATTTTTTCTATACTGTACAGTAGTTTTATATTATATTTTCATTATTTATAAGTCACATTAGAGCATCATATTAAAGTATTATATGGTACTGTACAGGGTACTGTATTTGACTAGTTGAGATATTTGAAGAGGGGTTTGGTACTGTGTAACAAATTAATTCAGTATAGAGAAGTACATATACAGTACAGTGGTCCCTCGGTTAACAAACACAATTCGTTCCACAGAGTCGTTCTTTAACCGAAAATTTTGTTAACCGAATCTGTTATTTCAATGGGATATTGGTTCCAACTCACAGAATAAGAATGCTTACAAAGTACTGTATACCGGTAATAGAATTAACAAAACATTAAATATACTGTAAACTAATTACAGTACTGTACTGTACAGTAAACTGAACAATAATAAATAAAAAACAATAGAATACTGTACTGTATTTTAACTTACTTTGAGGTGTGTATGTCGTATTCCTGGCAACTTTGTTTACATATCAAACAGCTGATTGTAGAGGCAGTCGATGATGACATGTCATATTCTTTACAGAGTGCTTTGGTTCTAATGCCTTCTTCGTGTTTCATAATAATTTTTGCACTGTATATTATCAATTTGTTCACTAAAGTTCAGAATGACCAATAATTT